TAGGTTCTCATTTTACTCTTTTGGTGAAGTCTTTTGAAGAGCACAGGTGTTTGATTTTTAAGATACTAGCTATCTAGCTTATCTTCTGGGGTTTATGTGTTGATGGTTATGTTTTGCATCCTGTTAATGCCGTGTATTAGGGCCTGTAGTGTTGGTCTTATTTTTTCTTCTATAAACTTTATAGTTTTTGGCTTTATATTTAGGTCTTTGATCCATTTTGGATTAGTTTTTGTATATGGCATGAGGTATGGGTCCTGTTTCATTTTTTTGCAGATGGTTATCCAGTTTTGCCAGCACCATTTGTTTAAAAGACTGTTTTTTCCCCATTTGATGGACTTTGGGCCCTTGTTGAAGATCAGGTCACTGTAGGTGGACGGATTTACATCTGGGTAGATTTGTTTTTAATAAAGTTTATATACTTTAAAAAAGCTCATTACAGAAAATCTCAGCGTCCACCACCTCGTGGTACGTGGGCGGGGGGGGGGGTCAAAGCCGTCCCCGGCACCGATGCTCCCGCCGTCGCCTCCGCCGTCGCCCCGTGGGCCCCCGTCAGGCCCGGGACTGGGGCCACCGCCGCTGCCCATAGGTTCGTAGCCACCGTAGTCCAGGCCCGGCCGCTCGTTGGTGAGCAGCGCCACGGCCTCGTTGATGTCGGTTTTGGCCAGGCGCAGGGCCTTGCGGATGGTGGCGGGGTCCGAGAAGCCCATCGTCTTCTGAGGTTTTAACAATGAGAAAGGTAGCGAGTAGTCCTTCCCATCTTTTGTTTTGTGCAGGGACTTCTGTGGTTATGTTTTTAATGCAGGGACAACAGGAACATTTTTATGAGCTTAACAAGCAGAAGAGGTGTCTTTGAAAGCAGGTTGTGCCTGTAGTACGGTCCTCTGGGAAAAGACCTACTGTATACAGCAAAATTTCGTACTTACTGGGCCAGCCTGTGCTTTTCCCACAGGAGAATGGACTCTAGCAGTTGTCAACCTGGATAGTAACCTTCAAGGGTCTTTTCCCCTCCTTCTAAAATAAAATAGAGGTGTTTGTTTATTCTTTGGCTGGGATCAAGGCCAACCTCATGAATAAGAGGAGTTGACCATCTAGGAGTGGCAGAAAGTCAGCCTGAGCAAATCTCTCATGCTGCTTGGCTACTGTCCTGGAAATCCTATCATTAGGGATTTTAAAAATGTATATTCAACATACTATTTTTCTGCTATTCTGTTTTAAAATTTAGATGCTATTTAGGGATAAAGGGCCATAATATATGCAACTTATCATTAAGTGGTTCAGGAAAAAAAAACATATACACAGGAGCACAAGCATGTGCTCGTGAAGGCAAGCTAGTACACAAATAGAAAAAGGAATAAAATGTTAACAATAGGTAAATCTGGGTAAAGGGGATGTAGGTGTTCTTTGTGCTATTCTTACTCTTTCAGCTTTTCTGTAAATTTGAAAGTATTTCCAAATAAAAAGTTTAAAAAAGCATTTAAATTACTCCTGAGAGGGGAGCTGCACTAAGACACTGAATATTGGTTCTGGTACATTGAGAACTTCTTGAGTACTTCATGTACCAGTTCTCTAAGATTATGAAATCTTTGTGCCAATTTTAACCCAGTTACATTTTAGTTTTGTGTTTATATTGTCTGACTGACTGGGTGCCTATGTTGTCAGGGACCTGGGCAGCCTAATGACCAGGAGAGATGTGGGATTAATGATTAGGGAGCCAGTGGAGAACCTGAGAGTCCAGTGGAGTGGTAGGGAATGCATTAGTCTTGTTCTTGTTTTAAATCCAAAGTTAGAGCAGGGCCAGTTGGAGCTATAGCAGAAAGTCATAACATAGCTATGTGTAAATCAAACTCAATCCAAGTGAAAGCAGGTATCTGGGACATAGAAATGATGAACTATTTGCTGCTAATAAGCAAAAAGACAAGTGAAAATAAGGTTAGCAGCAGAGAGCTGAGGATTGTCATACCGGTGTTTCTTTCTTCACTAAAGAATGGCGACTTGGTTGTGAAGAGTGGGTTAGGTCACGCTGTAATGTCAGCTGGGTGGCATCTCAGAGCCATAGGGCTGAAGGGGCTTTAGAGGTGCCCTGGTCCAACTACCTTATATTACAGATGGGAATGATGGGACCCAAAGGGGTGACATGATGGAGAATTATTCATGTGTTCAACAAACATTTCTGAGTGTCAGGTACTGTCCTAGAGGAGGGGTCAGATAGTGAAACAGACAGGGGTAGTCCTTGCTTACAGGGATGATAGCATTGGGAATGAACCCCACATCTCCCAGGACCCAGACATACTTCCTCCATGTAGCGTTAGAAGCCCCAGGACAC